ATAGCCTTTAGATAGCATTGTAGGAAAGTGTTGTACATACTTGGGCATGTGAATCAGACGTCCTCATAATTAAAGTAGGGAGGAAGGAAGTGTATTTTGTGGATATTTTTTTGCACACCCAAATTTTTGCGTATTCGACATCGACTCATCGCAAATCACGAAAGCCGTTCCCATTGTCAAGTTTAGTCCATGCCAAGGAAATGCATTATATTGCTTTTTTATGACGTTCTAGTATAAACGAAATCACCGGCCGCTTTGTAACCCCACAAGACGATGTTTTTGTTCTTAAATCCATAAACAGGGCTCGGTCACACAAACCGTCGAGACTCCGCTTTGCGTCCACTCTAGGGTGCTGATGCTGGTAACCATGGCCTTCAAATCAGCAGGACAGGCAGCATAAATCTTGTTAATTACTCTTGCTCACAGCCTGCTTATCTTTGCCTTTGTCGATGGTAAAGTATACATCCCAACCTATGGAGAACTTTGGCCATTTCATGAGCCGGGGACTCTGTGATGCGCATTAATCAGTTCACTGATTTCACTACCAAACTCCCGCAAGAAAGGGTGATTTAACTTGCGTAAGGCATATTTTTCACCCTCAGTTTGCAGTTTCCCGTATCCATCCCGTTAGCCATTCATAGTGATTAGGATGACGGTTGTGTAAGTCTTGCTCTGCGTTTTGTGAAGTGATGATAGGTTAAAGTGGATGGAGACATTGGAGACCGTTCACAAGATCTACATCAGAGGCGACCGGAGACAAACCGCCTCATTGTGATTGGGTTTTACCTCTTTATGCCGAATGGGCATTCACCCGTCATCTAGGGCAATTCTCTCTCACTCGCTCTCATCCAAACTAAGACCGCAAGGAGAATTTTCAGGGATTCCCTTCGTTGCTCAAAGAAATGCATTCTCTTAAAAGGATGCTAAATCGATCTACCGAGGAACGAAAATAAGAGTCTGTGAGTAGAAAACCAATTACAAAATTAAATCTGTGGGTATGAACGCTTTGGATTGTTTGAAAATTCGGTGTTGAGCTAACTGTTGGGCTCTCAAGCAGGTTCTGAATACAATAACAGAACATACTCCAATAGTCAAGTCCTGCGTAAATACTTAACAGGATTTTTTGGCCTACAGTGATTGCAT